CATACTTTGTCCTCTCATCCTTACATCCAATCAGTTTATTCATTTCCATTAATATATGGTACTAAATTTAAAATAATCCCTATAGAAAAGACTTTTTCCCCCAAGGGCTTTTAAAATGAAGTGCAATGTTCTCAGTAAAATAATCGTGGAAAGAAGTAGAGCAGTTTTAAAAAGAACTAGTGGGAAACAAAAATAATTAACTTTCAAAATTCAAGGCAGGAAAACAACTGACATGTTCTCAATCTACTCAGGATTTAGGTTCAGTTCCCGTTAATAAGTCATTTACCAAAGGAACAAAATTATAATACATTTCAGTACATTAAAAAATAAATCTTATCTACTCTAAATAGGGATAATAAAATGCTTTCTTTTAGTTGACACAGAAAGCAAGTAGCTCTTAGAATACCCTATGTTTTTCTCATTTTTAATAAATAGTGGAGCAACTAAAAATCATAGTCTAGATAAAATCACGCTTTCCTGTTCGATGAAAGTGTTAAAAGTTTGAAATGAGTAACCATAATAAGTAATTTTTAAAAATCCACTCCAAGTATCTGTTTTCTGTTTTTTTCCCTTTAGCTTTCCCCTAGACAATTTCCCATAACACGAGGACATGTCAAAAACACTTTTGAAAATTGACAGTGTTTTAGAATTAATGAACTACATTCCAGAAATATAAATTTGACTTAGCTAAAGGGCATAAAAATAAAATTTTCAAGACAAGCCCAAATGATCAGGAATGTAGTTAACAAATAAAGCAGAGAATAAATGGACAAGTTACGATTTCAAATATGAAGGTTATTGTATTTTTAATAATTTTACCTTCTTAATATATTGATATGATGCCAGGCCCTGTCAACAAGGCATCTGAGTTCCACTGCGATAGTGGACATCGATTTTTACTGATACTCCTTAGAATGGAAGAAGGAAAGGTAAATAGTATTATATTATTCAAGAGACAAAAATGCTTTAAGAATAGGGAAGGTGTGATGGAAAGAAAATAGATTTTGTGGCTTTCTTGTGTGTGTGCTTAATAAGATGATCAAGATATCGAAATCAATTTTGATTAAAAAAATCTACTACCTCCCTCAGGAGTCATTAAAGATGAAAAAAAATCAACCGTATGGAAGCTGATGTTAGAATAGTTGGGAGATTTCTCCTGCTGATTGACAGCTGTGAAGTCAGCAAGAGAAAAAAATTAAGTGGCTGAACAAATTTGTACTGTTAATATGGCTAAATGTTCAATTTCATATATTTGTTTGAATGCTCTAAACACTTTTGATGGTAAGTGCTGGGAGAGTGGAAGGTGGAGAATAAAAGCAGTGGACTTGGTCATGTTGAAATTAAACATTTTAGTCATATCCATAAACACTTCTTATTTTTGTTACTTTTTAAAAATTAATTTATGCCGTGTAGTATAAAAATGGAACAACACAATAGGGAAGAGAAAAGAGTAATCATCTCGCCCAGACTCTTAATTACAGAACAGATTCTTATAGGAAATGCAATTATTTTGAAATATTTCTGTTATCAGTATTTTGTGATTATCTTCAAGTTATAAAAATATCACTATTTATTGATGTTCATACATTCCTGTCCCAATAGATAAGAATTTTGTTTATTCAAATACCTCAGTAATTCCTCCTTCTACTTCTGTATTTTGTTATATTACTGATTTTAGTTCCTTTAATGGATACCTTTGTAACTACATGGATAACTATGGATAATTTTGTACATTTAAAATTCATCAACACTCCATGGTGTCTTTTGAGATGCTGCTTTTTAAGATGAGAACATTAATTTTCTGAATGTAACCTCTCCTCTACTCAAGTTCTACTTCCAAATTCTGTCACATCCTATTTCTGTTCTATAACAAAAATCAAGTCCTTCATCCTGATTCTAAAAGTTGACAGCCAACAAAATGTTTACATATGATGATCAGGTGAATATTTTTTACCAAGGATGAAGCAGTGTGCTATCGTTACCCTTCCTTCTCTTCAGTTCTGCTGTTATAAGCCTTATGCCACACACAAAAACTGGTATTTCTAATATCAAAGAAAATTATTTCCCTGTCATTCTTGCCTATCAATTGTTTATATTAAGTCGCATTCTATTTTGTTTCATACTTAGATCATGTTTTTCTTGGACATGTTTTTGTTTTTCCTGGAATTTGAGATTGCCTTCTATTTTTTCTTATTGAGAGATAAAATCAATACCACATTTATTTCTAACTTCTTCCAAGTTCCTACAAATATTAATCTTCTTTTGTACTATACTCTTCTCTTACATTGAAAACATTCTTCTTAGAAGCAACTGGCTTCTAGATCAAATTTGGAAAGATTAATTGTAGGTCTCCAGCATGGCTAAGAATTTTTTAAGTGGACTCTTAAGGAAGACCAGCATTTCTTGTATGCTACATCTTTTTCCTTCTTGTTTCCCAGCCCTGTTTTGCTAATGTACAACTTCAAAACCTTCCTCATGGAGGATGCTTGTAAGATAAAACTTACAAATCTTAAAAAAAAAATTTATTCATACTCATGCTTGATGCATGTTTTGGCTAAAAATATAATTTCAATTTCTTAAATATATCCCTCCCTCCATACTTTAAAAAATTCTGTTCTCTATCTTCTAGGATATATTGTTTTTGTGAAAAAATTCGATGCAAGACTGATCTTGTTTCTTTTAAAAGATGTTTTTTCTCTGTGAAACTTTCTAGCATCTTGTTTTGATATACTCAGTACTTTAATAATTGATAATAGTTCTAGGTGTACGTCTTTCACAAATTCTTACTAAGTGGCACTTAAAGTGTCCTTTAAATATGAAAACATAGAGTAATCTGTTTTATTTAAGATTTGGGGAAATTCTTCCATTATTTCTTTGGTAATTTTTTAATTGGTTTTTTTCCCCTACTTTTTTTTCTTGAAAACTAGCTAGTCAGATATTAAATTTTCTGGATTAACACTTTATGTCCCTTAGCTTAAGCTCTTGGAGAGGTCCTCATTTTATCTTCCCAGTGTTCTACTGATTTTTTTGTTGTTCTATTGATTTTAATTTAATTAATCATCCTTAAAACAAATCCTGACTCTTTTTTCTTATAGTTTTTTGGGTTGTTTCTTACTGTTGACTTTTCTTCCTTCACATATTACTTACTGAAACTTTTCTGAGTAGAGGCGGGTTTTCTTGATTTTTTAAAATGTCCATTTCCATGAATATTTGCTTCTTTTGAGGTTAATTTTATCTAGGTCTTTATTTTCATGCTGGAGGCTTGCTTCAAATATCTAGTCATCTTTGTTGTTTTATTTTATACTGAGAGATGAGGATGACAGAGAGGAAGCCTGAAGATGTTAAAAAAAATCCTTGCTTTAGTATGAGTGAGAAAGATGCTGGCCTTACCCTTGAGGTTCTCAAAGATGCCAGAATTATTAGTGCTTTATTCTAGAATGACAATATCCATCTAAGGTGTCTTAGTTTCCAAAACTGTTTGACAGTTTTTATAGAGAACAACTCTCCAATGTGCTGCCTGGAGGTAAACTCCTGGTCTGCACAAGTTGGGAAGAGGCAGGAAGCGATAGGGAATCTATGATTTCCTCTATATTTTAAAGGAATTAATTTATCCTTTAATATTTCACCGTGTTTTCACTCCCACCCTCTGTTGTTCTCTGCATGTCTCATTAAACATGTTTCCTTGTCTATGTAGTCCCCACCTCTTGCATTATGGATTTCGTATTTTATTTCAGTTTAATCATTTCCATCCTTTTATCTACTTTCCATCTTCACCATGAATCCCTTCTTTTTCTTTTTGTTATTATGGATTTATGACTTTTAATTCATTTACTGTGTCCTTTTAATGGTGTCTCAGAAGAGGTGAGAAAAATGTGTATGTCGAGTCAGAGACCTTGAGCGAGAAGACCTCATCTCTGTAGGGACAATTTTTAAAAACATGATTTTGAGCTTGTAATGTCTCTGTACTTTTGATTATACTGATAGCTTAAATTCACCTGTGAGCACAAATGCAATTGCTTCTCAAAAGACTCTATTCACTCAACTGCTTCTCATTGACTTGTACTTTTATTTTGCCTGCTTCAACTTTAGCTTTGAAGAACTTTGGAGAAGAGAAAGGCATTCCACACCAGGTGATGCTGGGAAAGGTGATATTCTCAGTTAATTCCTAAGGACATAATCTAGTCCCCCTATGGCCTCGGAGGTTAAGTCTTTTCCCAGCTGCAGAGTTCTCTGGAGCTCCAAAGTGAAGCATGTTCCAGAAGCACTGTGTTTCCAGACAGCAGCAGTTATGCGCAGAGGTGATGGTCTAGGATAGGAATCCTAATTGCTTGTGGCAGCAGGACTGACAGTGGAGGAGACTTTATCAGTGGTGTTTGCACTGTGTTCACATAAGCCTACCTCAGTGGCTGTCAGCCCTGGAAGACATCACGCTTTTAGACTGGCCCTTATCTAACTTTAATCATCCACCTCAGAAGGGGATGAGTGGAGGCTTTGTAGAAAGAGATAGTCAGATTGCCTTGCTCTCCCTGGCTGCTTCTTAAAGTAACATAAGTTAAACACATTTGTTAAGGTTGTAAATAAGTAAGCAAGTGCAAACACAGGCCTTCGCCCCCATCCTTCCCCCTCCACCCCTTTCTCATGAAGGGAGAGCTGCACGCACAGAAGTGTGTGGCTGGATGGAGGCCCAGAAATCTGGAAAGTGTATTATGTGGGATCCCCGCGGAGAAGCACTTGGCTGCTGGCAGCCCTGGCTCTGGTTTCCACACACCATCAATCTGGTGCCTGGCGGTCACTGCTCCCTCCTCACCTCACCTCATGCAGAGAGCAGACAGCTCAACTATTTGTCTCGTGCTGCAGCAGCCAAGCCATTTGAGGAAGGGAAGAAGAGGGAGAGGAAGAATGATGGGGGTGGGGAAAAATAACAACCTTCCAACAGGCCACCACTCCTTTCAACTGTCAGCTGGTTCCTGAACAGCTTCAACTCGGACCTTCGGATGTAGATGGTGGGAGGAGGAGAGGAAAGCAGAGGTGACTCACAGTGCAAGGGCCAGTATCTCGACCAACCTTCGGGGTCAGTTCACAGTGGACATAAATGAAACTTCAGGTGTTCTCGGGAAGAAGGGTAGATTTGGGAAACAGTCCTTGAGGCTACTTTGCAAGAATAGGAGAACAGGAGCTAAGTCTGTCTCTAAACCTCTGGAGTTCTGATTTATTCCCTTTGTACAGAACAGGAAGCTGAGTCAGGCAGAGGTCGGTTCAGCCATGAAAATCCCACACATATTACCAGGACCGGTAACATATACGTGAGGCATCCTGTTATTCGAATAACAGGTATGTGTTTTCTTAGACTTCTGAAACTGCCTCGACAGTCTGAAAAAAGAAATAAGGAAAATGCTATTTCTGTAGAAGAAGAATTTTCTCAGGCCTTATGATGTCTATTATCTGAGATGTTCTTACTTCTGGTTTTTCTAGAAGAGTATTATGTATGCTTGTACCTTTTTGACTGCTACCCCAGCAGTGGCGGGAAGAAAGCCAGATGATGATTTGGGGTCTTGAGGACATCTAAACTCTCGCTCCCGCTAGCTTCAACTTCGACCTTAACCTCAGTCCTAATATTTTCTTGCAATAGGAAGGGACCCAGGCTTGCTTGATCAGTTTTTCCATGTCTGGTCTAAGGTCTGAGACCTGGATCCTACTTGACTAGTGAGTAATTTGTGAGCCATAATGAACACAAATTATAACAGTAAGAAAATCTGCAATAGGTGCCAGAGACTTGTAACAACCAAGGATGAACATTTCTATATTCGCTAATTTCCTTTACTCAGACTGGAAGGTTGTGTGAGAAAAGAAAATGTTTTTCAGTGATTTAAAGGAAACACAAAAGCATAGATTTATCCCTGAAAAAAACTGTCTCATGTAAATGTATGCTCAATATTTTTTTCTTTTTTTCCCCACTAAAACTCTTGGGTTTGTGCTTTCTGGCCACAGCCTAAGAGTGTTTGTTCTCAGTCATGACACCACTCAAGTTTTCTCACTCTTCTGTGAATGCAAACCCTGCCTTCTACTTTGGAGCCTCTCATTTTTATATTGACAGACTTGGGTGAAATTTTAATGTCAGCAGAAAACAGCTTTATTCAGCCAATGGTTATTTAGAATCTCATGAGATTAGGAGAATTGCAATACCTGACTTAAACATATAAACGCTTCACTCCCTGGGCTCAGTGTCTTTGGTTTCCAAGAATATTACAGAAGGTTTATTATACGTTCAAGCTTGGCAATGCTTTATGCACAGGAGCTTTCAAACTGGCAGTGGGTCTGGAGGTAATGAAACTGCAAGAACAACACATAGCAGGAAATGGTTCACTGGTTTTGAGGCTTCATTTATTCCAAAGAAAAGAGCAATGTTACTGTAACGAAGGTTCGCAGTATTTGTGTTAGAGCAATTGCAAAAATCTTATCTTCAACGTGTGCATAAAAGGAGAATGAAAATTTGTTTAACTTTTAAAGGGAAAAAAGTCATTTAACCACTGAGCCTGTTGTATTTCTTTCATAAAGGTATTTTAATACAATATATTTTTGTGCTTTATATGAAAACAATCACAGTCTAAATGCTCTGCCTTAATCAACTAAAGACAGCAAAACATTATTTCATTCTTTATTATCAAAGGATCAAGGAGATTAGCATTCAAAAACGATGAAGATACTGATATTTATTTATTCCCAACAAAATTATTATAGCTGTTTCCTAAACCCTAGTTTGCCACCTCCTTTCCCCTAACTTTTCAAAATCTGAGCCTCTGTTAGTATTTTGTCTCATAACATTCATTTTCTTTATTCTTTCCTAGTTCAAGGGAGAGTATTTTTGAAGCCTAATTCAAAAGGATTGCACGCCCCTCATCACACCTGTTGGACTTTAAACAAATCACACCCAGAGAATGAGTAGAAATAATCTTTTTTGTCGTTAGGAGAAGGGGGGTAGAGATGGATGCAAACTGAAATAAAAAATAAATCCTAGCTCAGTAATCTACAATCTCATTGGCATGATTCCAATGCCAAGATCCCTTTCTATAAAGTCTGCTCTTGGGAATATGTGATTATTATAAAGGTCCATGCCAAAACATTTTATTACAGATAATTGTGTACATTCTGATTCCAATCAATGAGCTCCTTGAGGCCAAACGTCATATTCCCTCTAGACTGTCTCCTTTGTTTCTAAGTGACTAACACCTAGGTCAGAAGCTGTGGCATTTTCACTACTCAGTGACTACTAACTGGTGTTTTTCTGACTGAGAACATTTGTGAGTTTCTTATTTACTTCTGTCACCCAGAACAAGAGTAGTCAGCCAATAAACACTTACTGATTTTATTTATATATTGGTGCTCTTGCAGATTACTGTTAAATTGGCAATACTAGAGTTAACTTCAAAGAGTACATTCTAGGTTTAGTTCAGACAAACATGGAAAAGTTCAGTTCTTGATGTGGAACCTGCTGACTTGATGAAGTTTTCCTAAGAAAAATACTTGAATAGGTTCCCCCACTAAACTTTTTTTCATTACTGTTTATTGAAATTTCTACCTCTAATCAGTTCCATTTCAGAGAATAAAAGGAAAACTTCTATTCCTATTCAAGAAGTTCACGGCAAATGGTTAGATTGATTTAAGAAGGTTAATGATTAGAAGTAATTGGGGAAGATTTTCGTTTATCCCTAAATGAAGCACCTTGGTCTTCTAAGAGTGGACCCTAGAATTAATCATTCTTTTCATTATTAGGTTAAATAGTTCATTTTATTTGACTGGATTTTCCAAGCACAGTTTTGTCTTCTGGCTAATTGTTGAGCTCAGCGCAGGGAAGGTAAATAACACCAAGCCTGCTCCATATGCAGGTGTTACTTTGGTCTATAGAAATACCTGGTTTAACTTGGCATGACTGGTTCTTTTATTTGGAAGATCTAGTAAAGAAAGCTGCACTGTTTCCTCAGTTGTGTTTGATTGCTTTCATTAAAAATAAAATAATCACCCTGATACCAAAACCAGAAAAAGATATCACAAAAAAAGAAAATTATAGACCAATATCACTGATAAAACATAGATGCAAAAATCCTGAAAAAAATACTAGCAAACAGAATCCAACAGCACATTAAAAGGATCATACACCATGATCAAGTGGGATTTATCCCAGGGATGCAAGGATTCTTCAATATATGCAAATCAATCAATGTGATACACCACATTAACAAATTAAGGAATAAAAACCATATGATGTGATCATCTCAGTAGATGCAGAAAATGCTTTTGACAAAATTCAACACCCATTTATGATAAAAACTCTCCAGAAAATGGGCATAGAGGGAACTTACCTCAACATAATAAAGGCCGTATATGACAAATCCACCGCAAGCATCATACTCAGTGGTGAAAAACTGAAAGCATTTCCACTAAGATCAGGAACAAGACAAGGATGTCCACTCTCACCACTCTTATTCAACACAGTTTTGGCAGTCTTAGCCAGAGAAATCAGAGAAGAAAAAGAAATAAAAGGAATCCAAATTGGAAAAGAAGAAGTAAACCTGTCACTGTTTGCCAAAGACATGACACTATACATAGAAAATCCTAAAGATGTCACCAGAAAACTACTAGAACTAATCAATGAATTTGGTTAAGGTTGCAGGATACAAAATTAATGCACAGAAATCTCTGGCATTCCTATACACCAACAATGAAAAATCAGAAAGAGAAATTAAGGAAACACTCCCATTTACCACTGCAACAAAAAGAATAAAATATCTAGGAATAAACCTGCCTAAGGAGGTGAAAGACTTGTACTCAGAAAACTATAAAACACTGATGAAAGAAACCAAAGATGACATAAACAGATGGAGAAATAGACCATGTTCTTGGATTGGAAGAATCAATATTGTGAAAATGACTATACCACCCAAAACAATCTACAGATTGAATGCAATCCCTATCAAACTACCAATGGCACTCTTCACAGAATTAGAACAAAAAATGTTACAATTCGTATGGAAACACAAAAGTCCCCGAATAGACAAAGCAATCTTGAGAAAGAAAAACGGAGTTGGAGGACTCAGGCTCCTCGACTTCAAACTATACCACAAAGCTATAGTAATCAAGACAGTATGGTACTGGCACAAAAACGGATATACAGATGAATGGAACAGGATAGAAAGCCCAGAGATAAACCCACGCACATATGGGCACCTAATTTACTACAAAGGAGGCAAGAACATACAATGCATAAAAGACAGCCTCTTCAATAAGTGGTGCTGGGAAAACTGGACAGCTAAATGTAAAAGAATGAAATTAGAAGACTACCTAACACCATACACAAAAATAAACTCCAAATTGATTAAAAACATAAATGTAAGACCAGACACTATACAACTCTCAGAGGAAAACATAGGAAAAACACTCTTTGACATAAACCACAGCAAGATCTTTTTTTTAAAATAAATAAATTTATTTCTTTATTGGCTGCATTGGGTCTTCATTGCTGCAAGCGGGCTTTCTCTAGTTGCAGCGAGTGGGGGCTACTCTTCCTAGCACGGGCTTCTCATCGTGGTGGCTTCTCTTGTTGCAGAGCAGGGGCTCTAGGCACACGGGCTTCAGTAGTTGTGGCACGTGGGCTCTAGAGCGCAGGCTCAGTAGTTGTGCGCATGGGCTTAGTTGCTCCACGGCACGTGGGATCTTCCCGGACTAGGGCTTAAACCTGTGTCCCCTGCATTGGCGGGCGGATTCTTAACCACTGCACCACAAGAGAAGTCCAGCAAGATCTTTTTTGACCCACCTCCTACAGTAACAGAAATAAAAACAAAAATAAACAAATGGGACTTAATTAAACTTAAAAGCTTTTGCACAGCAAAGGAAACCATAAACAGGACAAAAAGACAACCCTCAGAATGGGAGAAAATATTTGCAAATGAAACAACAAAGGATTAATCTCCAAAATATAAACACCTCATGAAGCTCAAACAAACAATCCAGTTAAGAAATGGGCAGAAGACCTAAATAGACATTTCACCAAGGAAGACATACATATGGCCAAGAGGAACATGAAAAGATGCTCAACATCATTAATTATTAGAGAAATGCAAACCAAAACTATAATGAGGCATCACCTCACACCGGTCAGAATGGCCATTATCAAAAAATCTAGAAACAATAAATGTTAGAAAGGGTGTGGTGAAAAGGGAGCCCTCCTGCACTGTTGGTGGGAATGTAAGTTGATACAACCACTAAGGAAAACAGTATGAAGGTTCCTTAAAAAGCTAAAAATAGAACCCAGCAATCCCACTCCTGGGCAAATACCC